ACCAGCATAAGCAGAACATTGATGACTTGTAGCTAATACTACCTAATGTTTTGTTCCAGAAGCTTCAGCACAATAGGTGTCAACTGCTAAAAACTCCTCAGTGTAAGCATAGTTACCTATCACCACCTTCTGATATCTCAACCACCTACAGATGAAATCACCCTAAGGCAAACCTACTTGTCTTGAGACCCATTTAAATGTCCATTGCACTTTATAATCACTGGAATTGGAGGTGGATGGATGATCTTACAGGAACAATAAAGAAACAAACATTTCACCCACTCTATAAGCCACTGAGACTGTCCTTGTCAGGAACAGCAGAAACACTTGAAACTAATTTGAAAAGTTCATAAATATATGCTAGAAATATATCTATATAGACTATAGATATAGATATTTAAAAGTTTATATTTGGGAGCCCTAAGTGGCTAATGTGATTTACATGGGCTCTATTTGTAAATCAGGTACCACTCCTGACTCAAAGATACCCATGAAAGTAACACATAGTTTGTGATGTTTTAAGTGAAATAAAACATGATTCAATTTCGCTGTAATTAGACAAAATACACCAACCAGGACCTTACCATAGGAAGAGTTTTACTAAGCTCACTGTCAAAAGTCTGCCTTTCTAACACTTTTACCCCTTTCCCCATAAACTGCCTATACAAGAGACTTGCTATAATAAGAGAGCAACAGCAACAGCATTTTTGGGTATGTTCAAAATACAGAGAGCTACTGTCACTAGTGTTTTAATTCAGTATTTTCTCTTTTTCCTGCACTTTCAGAACGATTCTAATGACTGATCATGTTGCAGATTAAACAGCTATTTTGGCAAGCTGCCAACCAATTTCTGTTTGAAACTTAATCTCTCTCCAACCGGCAATAGAAGTAACTGTTTGACCTCTTCCCTATTTTGATTTTTTTTTTCTTCCTATTGTGCACAACTTATTGATAAAGATGCCATGGTTAAGTATGCCCCACCTGAGCAACTTTCACAACTTTCTGGTTTTCAGCCCTTGAATCTCTGAATGTTAAGAAATCACGATGGATTGCCAAAACTTATGCAAGGCTCTGTATCAAAAACTGAGTTAAAATTCATGCCATAAACCAAACTTCCTATATTACCATTTAATGGCATATAACAACTTCAGAATGTTCTCTCCCTCTCTAGCAATATATTTATTGCCACGTACTGAGACAAACACTGACACCAGGTACGATAACAGCAACAATTCCACCACAGCTGCTGAACACGCAACTGCAAAGGAGATTGTATTAAGAGAAATGTCTGATAAAGTGTACATTTATGCAATCATCCAGAAAGTGAAGAATTCCACCACCATATTTTTCAACATCATGAAATGTTTGTTTCTCTTTTCTTCCTTGTAAAAGGAAATAGCCTAGAGGAGAATTTATAGAGGAGAACCCCTAGAATGTATGTTTGTCTTACTCTCCTTCCAGTGAAGTACCCTCTCCCAAGGTGGTAGTGTCTTATCTCATGCAGCTGTTGTTATTTTCATGTATTGTTTGAGTCTTCAAATGGATCTACTATTAAATAAAAGCTACCACATAATTGCAGAGAATAGAAGAGTAGTGAAGTCAATAGTTTTTCTCACATTTAAGGTGAAAGGAGAAAATGCAGTAAAAATCTTCAAAAGTTCTCCTTACCAATAGCATCTCCATGCAGTATGGAGCAGTAGGAGCAAAACTTAAGCATCCTACCACCATGTTTTCAGTATCTGACACAGGCTTGGTCCAGTACATTAAGGCAAGAGTAAAGATGCATTTATGGTGTATAGAATTGCCTTACCTCTGTTTAGTTCTTTGCTGCATAGAAAAAGTAGTATGGTAAACCTAATCTGCAATGGTGTGACTAGAGCTGTAGCAGAGTGGCACTAATAAGATTACCTAAGCAGCACAAAATAACTAAATTATACCCACTGCTCTTATAGCTGCTGCTAAAAGCCTATGTTTAAGTAAACTTCACAAGGTTACTGAAGCTAGATTAGATACCTATGAAAAAAAGAGTAAACAAAACGCATCAAGAAATGAAGGTAGCTGGAAATTAAAGCTATGATGAAAGTGTACTTGTTAAATGACTCTCACATGTCAGAAAGTAAATTCTGCCCAACCCTGAAGTGCTCCCAGAGTGCATGGCCATACCAGGGATTTCAATTTTCAGACAGTGAAGCTGGCTGTCACACCTGAGTATGAAAGATAACATCAATTAGCTTATGATAGCAACTTGAAGATATGGACAGGATCAAACTTCTCCATGCAAACACAAATGGCTCAGACCAATGAAAGGACTGTGTACCTTATAGACTAGCTGTCCCCTTTTTCTGATTATATCAGTTTGTCTATTTAAAATAATGCTCATTTCTAAAGGAATTTGCATTCTCCTATATCTGGTAACTATTATGGATGTAAAACTTCCACAGAAGACTGTTAGGAATTCTATTTTCTGCATACTGATTAAGTGCACAAAGATTAATAGAAGTAAAAATTTCACTTCAAATATTCTCAGAAGTTAAGGTTCCTCTTGGCTTTCAGAAAATATTTTGTATGGCCAGTGTGTTATTTCTGACATAACCTGGAGAACAGAAAAGCAAAAACCAAAATATATGAAGAAATACAGAACTGGCATGGTGCACTCCATTTCAAGCTAACTCTGAGATCAAAGGGCCAAATTTTACACTTTTAGGAGAATCCATGGGAAGCAGAAAGTGGAGCTGCAACTGCTGCACAAACTGAATTAACTTGAATGATTCTTCTTTCTTGGGGAAAAAAATAAACAAGGAAAGGCAAAAATAGGACAGTCAATTACACAGGAATTTATTTCAAGATGTGGCATTTTCTCTGCCTTCAGAGGTTTCCTCTGAACGTTGAACATTGTCACCTCCTTCAGATTACTCCCTTCATATTATCAGAGCAGCCCACATCTTTCAGATTTATATAGTTATTAAAATAAAATGAGAGTTAAACTAGACCATTTATTCTACTGGTTAAACAGAACTGACCCGTCCCTCTGCACTGTTGGGTTTTTTGAAGTGGGAGTGAAAATCTCACACAAAACCCCCCCCAACCTCTGACAATTAAAGCTATTATTTTAATAACATATAAAAATTGCTCTTTTGAGGTGTAATTTTTGTATTCACCATTCTCAAACTAGAAAAACATTAACTGTATCTGAAGAGCATGATGGACAGGATGTAACTGAGAGCAAATAAATGCTGCAAGCAAAATGAAATAAGGAAGCTCAATGTATTTCTTCAATGGAAATACATCAGAACTAAAAAAAGCTGTCACAGCAGATTTTCAGTGCTCTGGAGGTTTTGTACAGTCATTCATCACCACTGTACCTGCTCCATTATATTTTACTCAAGGTTTATTTGCATATATCTAAAATGGAAATGGGGCAAGCACATAACACTCTTCTTCTTCTTCACTTAGATATTGGATATGTGTATGGATCCAGAAGTTTCAGATAATTATTTACCATTTAGAGGTATCCTCAGTTACTGTTACAGGCTGTATCACATCTGTGAAAAAAAGATGCACAATGATAATAACAAGGTTGATTACAGGCCTTGACATCTTCACTATACTTTTGAAGATCAACTGGTAATCCAAAGAGAGAGAATTCCTCCTGCTATGGTTTAAACACCGAGTGTCTTTGCCAGAAATGCATGGGAATTATATCCTCAGCAGCAGCTACTTCTTTTTGACACAATTTATATGGAATAAACTGCTTTTTGAGATGCAGAGAAATAATTTTTCTATTTAAAGCATATATTTTTGTCTTCAGCTATTGATCTATTACTAATGGGACTCAATGTCACCCACAAAATCATTATTTTATGGTAAACTGGAGTGCATTACAATGTTATTTTACTAAGATGTCTTCAGTGCACTGTAGATCTTCCATTTCCCATTTTTCAGAAAATTTAAATGAAACCTTTTATCTCAGTAATTTACACATTGCTAGGCACAAAGTGCTGAAACATGCTTTTGTGTATCTGCATTCCATTTCTATTTGGCAGAAAGTAAAATGATTTTGTCAACAATCCATCAGTAACCTATGCTCATCCACCTCTTACTATAGAGCAGAAGCAGCTCTGGCACAGTCAAGGTTCTAGCAATGTGCTACATACTGAAAAATGCTTTCCATTGATACCCTGATTTTATATAAATTATGCATGTGCAGCACTTGAACCATATACAATTGCCTAAACCTGAATGCAAATGAGTTACCTTGAGCAGGAGCCCACTGGGAGCATTGGCATCTGAAACACGAGACCCCTCTGGTGCCCCCTCCTGAACTGCCTTCCCTGCAGTTTTCCTGGGCCAGCCTTGTCCATGCAGGTGGCAATCATGTGACAGCAAGCTTCAGCAGGTTTAGGTCTCAATCACAAATCTGTCATCACCCTTTGTATTCCTGCAGAGCAGACTTCCCCATCAGTTAATATTCAGATGAGTTTGTGCTTCATATCTGACAGTTCTGAATTAAATTAGGATGATCTCCCTGTTTTATAGCTGTAAGTAGCACAGACACAGCTCATCTTTGTTCTGACAGCTTTCACAGATCTTATGCTGAAAATATTGTCTAGATGAGGAATTAAGGTAAGAAAGTTGCCGCCTTAGGCTTCTCTGTAGTCAATAGAGAAACAGCTCTCACTCAGAAGCTTTTCATACAGCAGTATCTGAAACTTTGCTCTCTGAACTTGTTTCCCCTTAACCATATTGATAGAAACAATAAATCATGAGAATACTACATGAAGATTTTACCAGAGAATAGCTAATTGTGTGTTAGTAAAGATATTAGGAATCCTTTGGCCAAAAACCATCAAGCATGTTGTGATTTGAACCACAATTTCAAGAGTTAATATTAGTTTTTCTTTCAAGGTAACTGCAATACACACTTCACAATCGCTGCAGATGTGAAAGGTTGTATATAGTGTGCTAAGAGATTCGCAGTTTAAAAATAACAGTAAACTAAATAAAGTGAAGTAACTTTTAATTCCCTTTTTAAATGTGCATTTGAATTTAATACAATCTGTAAGGCACTCTCATAAGTAAAAAAAAAATTAAACATTCTTTTCCAAATAAGGACAGTTACAAGGTAATGGTATGCATATAAAATATAAACTTATCTGTAACTGATAAACAATGAAATACAAATTTTCAGGTTTTGGATGCATTGCAAGGTAATGTCATTTCTGTATCAGGACACTACTCAGAGTAAATATTGGCACTGTAAATGATTTCTCATTGGGGTTAGAAACTTGTATTCTCTTCATATCCCAGTAAAAAATAAACTCTTCAATAAATAAATATATAAAATAAATATATGCTATCTGGAGATGTATAAATAGGTCCATCCTGAAGAAAAGTTCCAGTTTTGACTGCTATGTATTGACATCTAACGTCCATCACTAAAGTGGAGCCTGTAAAACTTCACACACAGTTCCCAGGATTTATCACTATTTTATAGTCCATTTCTTTCTACTTCTTCCATCATTGTCTCATCCATATGATGCAGATGGTTCCTTGCCAATCTACAGGCCACAGGTAATCCAGACAGAATTGCCAGGAGTTGGTTATGTTTTAAGAAGTCCCTCTTCCCCCTGGTGACTGGCTACCAAGCCATTCAGCAAGTCTTGAGGAGGCTGGTCCACACTCATCTTTGAGGCTTTGTCTCCCACATCCAGAGGCTAGAAACAGAGGCCTGCCCTTCACCAAGTGGGTTCTTCACATCCAGCATCCTCGACCGCTGCAGGTTCCTCATGCTGGCACTGCCATGAAAGCACGGGCAACAGCTCCAATTTGCTTATCTGCCAAAGCTGCCTCTTGGCTCAGCTGTATCCTAACACATCCTTGTACAGTTCTGGAACTCTTTCAGGATCCACAGGCCGGGGCAAGAAATGTGTGAATTTCTGATGTCTTTTGGACCTTGCCCCATCTCTGGGAGTACCATCTTTATTAAGTGCTACAAAGTACCTCCGCCCTGAATCTCCGTGTTTGTAGACATTGGATGAGTAAGTGTTGTACCAGTTTTCCTCAAATTGTTCCCTGAAGATGCACTCAGAAGTTAGTTTCTCCTACAGAAAGGAAGAGAAAAGAAGCATAAGTTAAACTGCCACTAGATATTTGAAGACATGAAAAAAGATATTATAAAAATAAACAAAATGCTTTAGACTTTGTGTAGCCTTACTTTTCATTTAAATGTCAACAAGCCAAACCCAAGAAAAGCATGTAAATCTGACAATGAGTTTGGAAACTTGGACCTGTACATCTACAATTTTAGATTTAAAAAATGAATTAGTTAACATTTACTGTAAGAAAACATTAGTAATTTATGATTTACTTTAAATTTATCTTGGAATGAATTATATTATGAATTGTTCTGTCTTGGGTTAGCTGTTGTTCTACAAATGAGATTTGGTAGACGGACTCAAATGAAACACAACAGAGCAGGGAGTATTTACATATTTCTTTGTGGTGTGCATCATTTCTCACATTTTAAACTGGAATGATTACAACCAAAGGAAATGGAGAAACAGAATATTTTATGTATGAATATAATATAAGAATAGAAGATGTATGCACTGATATGAAAGTGTTACTTACAGAGCCATAGAGTTCTCCCTTCTCATTCATTCCAAGGTAAAGGCCACTGTCCACGCCTCTAATACTGACCAGTCCCACTGCCACACTGATGAATTCAAGGATACCTGGAAAAAAATTGCTTTAATTAGTTTTGTAACCATAAAACACATAGCATTCAAAAACTCAGTTGAAAACAAGTAGAAAATGCACATACAATAGTAAATGTGGCCTAGTTTCTCTGAAGTTTCAAATACTATGTGAAAATATACACAATCATCACAGGAAAGCAGTCTGAGAAGCCTCATCTAGGAACTTGAATCCTTGACCATTCAAGAAACTTTTTCAAAATGTTGAATATTAAAGGATTTTATTCAGCACTGAGACTAAAGCCATTACTACCATGCTGTTGGAGTCTTTAATGATTGTACACTATTTGCTAAACTGCTTACTCAAATATTGGAAGATCGGTTTGAATTACCTGAAAATATACCTTACTACTTCTACAGAGTTATCTTTAAAAACCACATCCATTATTAGGTCATTTGAATGGAAATCAAAGTACAGATGGGAATTTTATATAACAGAATCTACCCACAGAAAAAGAAAAGTATTTGCCAGACATCTTATCTAGCATATGGGCCCACACCTCTTGACACAACTTGCTGTCTTTAGTGCAGGCTTTTAAAGTACATAAAATATGCTGCTTTTTTTGCTACTGTTTGGATTATAACATTATTTATATTACATTTGCCCAAAAATGTAATATATATTAATAAAGTATTTGAGACATGAGGTACTATTTGAAGCCTGAATTTGGCAAAGGTAAGCCAACATACTTAACCAATTGGTATGCACAGATTACAGCACATCCAAAACATGAAAGAAAAGGAATGTGTGAACTGGCTTTTTGGAAGTTGTTAACAACATAAACAAAGCCTCAAAAAGAAGTGCCAGAATCATATCTCAGATACTGCTGTTCAGCAGCAAAACCACAAAATGTTTAAAAAAATCCCTGAATCTAAGGTAAGTAGTTTTAAATAGTGCAGCTGATTATGACTTTTAGTCTGTTTACTATTTATGATTTCAGGACAATTTTCAGTCTCAGACAGATGGACTATCTGGACTAACCAATAATTTAAAATGTTTTCAATTTTAATTGAGCTTCAGCAGGTTTCTTAGTTGTATCAAAAACAGCAAAGAAAATAAATCCTTTACAAAGAGTAAGGTTTAAAAACTGTATCACACATAAATCATCCTTGTTTTCCAGTTCATAAAGCACAGAGTGCCATAAAATGTTTGGAGGCATTTTGTCTTTCTGATATCATTTTCAAAGCCACTCTTTTCCGAAAGCATAATAAGCAGGTGATACAACCCACAAAGAAACCACATCAGACAAACCTGCCAAGAGTAGTGGTAGAATAAAGGTAGTACAATTCTAAAAAGCCCAGTAAATGTTAGATCTATAGCTAACTTGATTTTCTCTTTAAAGCAAACATTTATTTCATGTTTACACGCTGTAGGAAATCTTCCTTCTGAGAAGATCTGTCTGACTGCTCTCTTCTACTTCTTAAAGCATCCATGTGCTATAAAAGCAATTAAGAGCCATTCCAGCAGATTGTTTTGACTATGGGGAGGATGATAGGAAGCTCTTTAATCACCTTTTTACGACTGCTAAACCAATACACACCAAAACTCACATGTCGTTGACAACAGCAGGTTTGCTCAGATGTCCAGCCTCTACAACTACTATTTAGGATTTACTCTCATATCACAGGTTGCCTTCTGCTCCTTTGGGTTTACTGGCAGAGAAGGCTGGCTGGGAAGCATTTTAAGCACTTAATCAAAGAGGCATTTTAGGCTCCTCTGCTTCAGCTTTATGTCCTTCTGTGAAGCAAAGCAGTCTAATGCAGCCTCAGGATCAGCATGCCCAAGTCTGTGACCTATACCTTTTACAGAGGCCCAATAAGCTCCAATACCAATAGTGAGTGCAAAAAGGGTCAGTGTGACTCCCGACCATTCCCATGAACCTACGGCGTATGCCTGTGCTCATAGACCCCCAGTACAGGCTGAGCAGTGCCTGCCTCCTGACTCACCTGGGATGCCCAGCCCACCCTCACTACCTGCCCTGGTGCACACCCCATGGCCGAACGCCGGAGGGTGAAACCTTTCTGTTCCGAGGGCTCATCCACCTGCCTCGGCATCCCCAGCATCACATCTCCCTCCCCAGAGCAGGGCTGCTGCCGCCCAGGCACACACCGAGGC